AACCGTCTATACGAGACCGTTGTGTTCGCTCACGATGCGCCCAACGAAAAAGAAGACACTACAATCGTTCGGTGCAAGGAAGCGAGCTATGAAGCTTGTCCGCGCGGCGAGACTCTCCGCTCGCACGTGCGCCGACGGTGATCGCGCCGACGGTACCTGTGGGGCAGCTTCTGCTTCATCTACGCAAGAGAGTGGTCGCATCGACGCGCCTAGCAACGGGACTCCTGCTCCGCCGGTGCAAGAATTTGTCGTTACAAGTGCGCCTGGTGTCTCGTGCTCATCGACAGTGGCTTCCGCATCTTCTCTTTCATCGGCCTCGAGTGCGATCGGGTCGTCAACTGTGCATTTGCGAACAAGTTTCCTGACGTGCGAGGAGAAAGAGGCGGCGGATCAACAACGCGCTGCTGTGCAAAGAGAACTTGGCGCTATGCCAGCGACGGAGAGGAAATTTCAGGCAATGGAGCGCCATCATGAAGCTGCCACCGCTACAAGTGAAGGCGAAAAATTTTTCCTTGTGCAAATGGATGCCCTAGACGACCTGCTATCTCGGACCCCGTGCCACCGGTGCACCGCGATTGGGATGAAGGTACGAGGAGGCACCCAACTTGGACTTGCTGCAAAGCTTGAGCTAGTATGCTTGCATTGTGGAGTAGTTTCAAGCTCATGGAGTTCATCTCGTCAGGATGACACAAAGGCCTTTGATGTGAATGTAAGAGCCATTATGGCAACAAAACAAATAGGCAAGGGACAAACAGCTCTCAACGACTTTTGGGCAGCGATGAACACGTCCCATCGTGGCCTCCATCACAAGACTTTTCAGAAGCACCTGAAAAAATTCAGGAAACCGCAGACACAATGCATAGAAAATTTCTATGCAGAATCTGCTTCTGCTGTAAAAGCCACTTACAAAGAAATGGATCAATATTTCACCAGCGATATAACAGTTTGTTATGATGGAACATGGCACAAGCGTGGGCACACATCCCATATTGGAGTCGGGGCAATTATCGAATACCATACGGGCCTTATCTTGGACGCCGTTGTTCTGTCTAATCAGTGCCTTGGTTGCCAAGTAGGGCCAAAGCCTGGAGACGCAGACTATGCATGCTGGCTGGAGAATCATGTGTGCCAGAAAAACACCGACTCTAAATCAGGGAGAATGGAGGTTGAGGCAGCTATCATCCTCTTTTCACGCTCGCTGTCGAAGCACAACCTCCGTTACTTAACGCTCGTGTCTGATGGAGATAGTGCCACCTTCTCTGCCCTTGTACAAGAAAATGTTTATGGACTGGTCCCCATTTCAAAAGTGGAATGCCTGAACCACGTTCAGAAGAGGATGGGGACTGCACTTCGCAACCTTGTGCAGAAAAGTGACAAGGCTTTGGGAGGGAAGGGCAGGCTGACAAAGGCCCTCATCGACAAGTTGACAGATTATTATGGCTGGGGCCTACGGAACAATTCTGATGATGTGGCTGCAATGCGGCGGGCAGTGATGGCATCGTACCACCATGTGACGTCGACGGATGAGGAGCCGCACCACGACTTGTGCCCAGAGGGTGCAGACTCCTGGTGTCGTCACAATGCCAGCAAGATTACCGGTGTTCCACCTCCGAAGCATTCGTACAAGCTGCCACGCTATGTTGCAGATGCACTTCTACCCATTTATGAGAGGCTCTCACAGGCTTCTCTTCTGCAACGCTGCCTGGGAGCAAAGACGCAGAATGCATCAGAGTCCTTTCACTCTGTGCTGTGGTCCCTCATGCCCAAAGAGCAGCATGCGTCACTGATTGCTGTGGAGACAGCACTGCATGATGCAGTGCTAAGATACAATGCTGGCTGCTACAGGGCCGCCCAAGAGCTAGCTTCATCAGTGGGGCTAACACCTGGCCATTCAACGGGCAGCCGAGAAAGATTCTCTGCGCTTGAAAAAGGCTAAGAAGCGATCCCTAGAGAAGATGGAAAGGCGGCAAAGAAAGAGAGTGCCAAAGGACACCTCCAGTTACGCTGCAGGTTCATTTTAGAACTGCCTATGTGCTCAAAACTTTCAAACGTTGTTTTCTCAAAATGACTTTTTTGGCTAGTGAGGCTGCTTATTCCAGCCATATCTCTGGAACCACTCATTGGATTTCCATAAGTCTTTTTTTATTATGTACATGAATAAATTTCTGAGGGGGTGACAAGCCCATTTTTTCAATATATTGTGTGTGTTATTTATTATATTCAATCAAAATTTGATTGATAATATTCTAATCACGAACACAAAGTTTGATGGTCTGTTAAAACTTTTCAGCAAGGAAATTCAAAAATTCCGCCATATCCACGAAGTGAATGATGATGAGTGGGCGAAGCTCCGGAGGTAAACCTGGTAAACCATGAATCCTCTGTACATTTTGCCCACTCGATTTTATTACATCGCTCCCCCTAGCGTACGTCGCCGCACTAAATCGAACGATTGCCTTCAACCAATGACACGCGCCATATGTGACATCATTCCTATTTTATAAGATCTCGCGTCTTTCATCAACTACAAGTACCGCTTTCTAGTTTATAACATCTTGCATCTTTTCATCATCAGCTACAAGTACCACCATCTAGTAAACACTACAAGAACTAAACGAGAGGTGGCTACATACAGGAGACGGTACCGCCATCTAGTGAACACTGCAAGAACTAAACTAGAGGTGGCTACATACAGGGGACGGTACCGCCATCTAGTGAACACTGCAAGAACTAAACTAGAGGTGGCTACATACAGGCTACAGGGGACGCACAGCCCACGCCCTAAGGAGCTTCGCCCCTAAAAAAGGGCTCTGTTACCCCCTGGAGTATCAATCTGGGAATCATCATAGTTAATTTCACAGTTCCAGCACCTTTTGAAAGTTCTCCAGGCCTGGAATAAGAGAACCATGTGCACTACCCTGATACTCTGCTGTAACTTGAAAACCAGTGAACATAACTTGATGAAATTTTGTAGTTCTAATGCTTTTGCTATAAGTCTATCCTGAAAATTTCATTAAGATATCTCAATAAACAAAAAAGTTGGTATCCGATGGTAGCCTCCCCCCTTAAGAACATTAAGTGGAGCTTTAAGCCTGAGCCACACATACGCTTGCAAATGCATGTGCCCTCGTCCTCGGGCTTCTAACCATATGCAAACAGCACAAATGTGTCAAAATGTGGCGATATGTTCCGAAACAGATCTCTGTGTCGGGCTGGCCTTGCATTGTGTGCGCATGCATAGATGCGTGTTGGTGTGCGTGCTTGCAATCATGTGTCTGGACACTTGCAAGAGTGCATGTGATGCCGGCTTCGCGCAAAAAAACAAAACTTATGATATAAAGGAAGTTTCAAAGGATTGAAAAACCAAGTGAGACAGTAAAATCTTGATTATACGAATTGGTAAAGAGCAGGCAAATTTGTTCGCTTGAACCAAAACAAGCTAAAGCTTAACATGAACAAGAACTTTATTGGGGTCATTGCTGAAAATGTTCATGATGGTCTTACTAACCTTTCTGCCTTCTCTATCTCTCACAAAACCTCTTTAAATGAACAAAACCATGCCATGGTTTCTTTACTCACGCTGCTTAGGCGACGTAGCAAGGGAAACTCCGATAAGTTTTACCGCATTTTCGAGGCCAAGTGTGAACAGGCCTTCCTGTCACGTGCAAGCTGCGTTGCACTGCTCGCGTGCAGCGGTCAGTCGCGCGTCATAACATTCACGGTGGCAGGGGAAACCGTTCGTATAACATCGACTCATGATAAGTTTTGTATATTGTAGTCCATCAGAAGCAACTGCGCTGCTACTTCGTGACAACGCAAGACACAATTTTTTTTCCGAGCAAGTGTATTGACAAACTGCTAAACCTTATACAGTAGACTCTCAGTAAACGGAAATCTGTTAAACGGAACTATAGCTTCTGCAATGCTTGGTTTCGGGCTTGTATTCTGCACCCATGTTCACATCTCGGTAAACGAAACTCCTGTTAAATGGAACATATTTTTCCGGACCCTTCAGTTTCCACTTACTGAGAGTCTACTGTAAAATTCGCTACATCTGGTCATTCCCAACTGAAGATGTTCATCTGGTTAGATGGTGCTGTATTGTGCCTGGTTCGGCACTAGACAGAAATGTGACTATAGTTTCGGTGCGCCACCCGCACTACAGTAGCCAAACACCGGCTGAAATAACTTGGTTGCGCTTAAGTGTATGCGGGTACGTGCAGACGCGCATTGACAAGGGTTTCCGGCCACAGGGCCAATAAAGATGTTCGTTTTCTGGTGAATCTTTCTTTTCAAACTCAATTATTTGCACTTCCCGGCAGTTTCGTTGAGTCGGAACGAATGGTCTGCGACTGTGGTCGGTCCAAATAAGTGCATCTTTTATGGGATAAGTTATCATTCGTAGACGTCTGTAGTCAGCAGTGTTACCACAGCAGTCCTTACCTGCTGCTTTTCTTATGTTTGCATGCTGAGTAATGCCTGTGGTTAATAGGTCATGCTGCCTGTGCTTCTCTGGCACTAGTAATACCAACATTGTTCGGACCAGGTTCAGTGCATGTGCACCGTTACATCGTAAAGACTATAAAAGGATAGCTGGGATTGCTAGAGCCTTGGTTATGTATTGTAGAGTGTGCAAGTTCAGTTCCCACTGGTGGATTTGATTTTTCATCTTCCCATGATTTCAACCGATTCCCAATTTTTTGCATATATGTTCTTTGTATTCATAGGCATGCAGTGAACCAAATTGAGCACCTCAATTCCTGTCGTTTTCTTCTCCTTGAGTTTTAATTTTTCCTTTTGTGCGGGATGCACTATTGTTTTATGTGTTTTATTGTGAATGAGGCCTTGCAAGAGGTTGCTGCATCATCTTTAATACTGCTGTCTGCAATGTATGAATTTTATTACAGTATTACAGTATTACAATATTATTATTTTATTACGAGTTTTTTTATTATTATCTTGTTTCCCCCTTGCCCTCGCCCTTTTTTTTGTGTGGACAGATGTTGCATCCACGGAAACAAAGGACAACTTGGCCGCCGCATCTGTTCCCGGAGAACAGCAACAGCAGCAGATGCCGTCGGCTTCCAGGGACCTCCGCGAGGTGTCGTCAACGTGCGAGTCCACCACTGGCCCTGTCACGAACGGCACACGGACCAGTAGCGCGGGCTCTGGTGCAGAGGATGACAACAGCGGCAGCACCACAACCTCCAGCAGCAACGGCCGGGCCATCGGCGAGGGCAGCGGCAGCTTTGGCCTGGCCCTGGGTGACCTACGAAACGGCACGTCGTCGTCGTCAGACCACCTAGTGAACCTCAGCAGCGGCGCTGGACTTCTCAGCTCGGCAGCAGACGACGCGTGAGTGCTCGTGCTCTTGAGAGATTTGAAAGCGGAACAGTATGCTAGGGGTGCTCAGAATTCATGTTTGGCAGTACCGTATTTACTCGTGTAATGATCGCACCCCTAAATTTTGTCGTCTAAATTCGACTTTTTTTCCCCCGCGTAATGATCGCACCCTGAACTTATGTGCCAAGTCTAGCTGAACGCGCCTATCATTGTTTCTGTGATCTGAAAGCGGGCATCACTATGCTAATGCCGTACATTTACGGATTTAAGGGGGCACACGGGTCTTTGGGGCCAAAAAATTGCCCCAAAACGCATTTTTTTTAGATGTCATTTTTGAAATCTACAGGTATTTTTCTATTAGTTTGCTCAGTTTTTCCTCCGGAAAGTTGGTACTTGAGCAGTAACAGCTACTTATAAAAGCCGTACGGGCCCGATTTGGCGAGATTCTGACGCCAAAATGGCAATTTTTCAATAATTTCCCGCAGCTGCGCCACGGGCAGTATCGCAGTGATCTAGGTCTCATTTGAAAGCGCGGTCTTCAATTTCCCGCCACTCTGGCTCCTGTCCGCTCATTGGTAGAGTAGAAAACACGCGCCAAAAAAGAGCAAAAATACGCGTTCCTATTTGCCGGCGAGCGCACGTGACTAAACAACGCAACGCGATTGGCCGCAAGCGGCGTGTGTCGTCTGCTTCGTGCCGTCGGCGGCGCAGTCAGGCGCCATATTGCTCGGACTGAGAACGATGGATTAGCCAAGGATCGCGCGCGATGTGGAAAGCCGGAAGGAAATTCCACACAAGGAATCAGTACGGCAAAAAAAGAAAGAAGTCGCTCCTCGAGAACTTCAAAGGCCGTTCCGCGTCAGCGAGAAGCGCGGAACGAGCAAGCGACCCACCTTCCGTGGCCAGCAGCGAGGCCCCTGATAACATAGGCTTAGCACCTCCGCCGCCGCCCGCTCAAGATAACGCATCCGGCAGCGGCCGCGTTCGTCTTGACACAGCAGTGCTGCACCCGTTAGAAGTGGCAGAGGTGCGTCGCAACGCCGAAAACAAGCTGCAAGAGCTCGCTTCAACTGGAGCAACACAACGCAAGTGCGGCCTGTTAGCCTATATCGACGATGCCGCAGCCACGCCGCTGGACGAAACACGGTTTTTGATCGTGAGTTTGGACCAGCTGAACGAACTAATGCGTGCAGTGAAGTGCAAATTGTGCTCCGGTGATGTAAACATCGGCAAAGAGGACAGGGAGTACGGCCTTGTCGTAAAGCTAGTGCTTACGTGCGCGACCTGCGGCGATGTGTCGGTGGCATGGAGCTCGCCGCACGTTGACGGCGAGAGCAAGGCAAAGCCGTTTGCCATCAATGTTTTGGGCGCGCGCGCTATGCAGTCTACTGGCAATCAGCAAACGGCATTCAACGACGTTTTTTCATCGATGAACATTTCTTCGCGCGGCCTGCACAACAAAACGTGGCAGAGCTACGTGAAGACGAAACTGACGGCCGCAGCTGTTCGTGCGTCGGAAAAGCTGACCGCGGAGTGCGCGCGATCGGTTCGGGAACTGTACGCGGAACTGGACCTCGGCAACCCGGGCAACATCGCTGTGTCGTACGACGGTTCCTGGATGACGAGGGGACACTCGTCGCACATCGGAGTCGGCACAGTTATCGAGTTGTTTACGGGGCTTGTGCTCGATTATGTCGTGTTCTGCAATTTTTGTGCCGGCTGCGAGCGGGCGCCTAAAGAAAGTGACTCGTCCTACGACGAGTGGAAAGCGAACCACCACTGCCAGAAACACAGCACAAAAAAAGCTGGAGAGATGGAAGTGGAAGCTGCCCTCATTCTGTTTCAGAGGTCGTGGGAGCGTCATAAGCTGAGATACACTACAGTTCTTTCTGATGGCGACTGCCGCACCTACCCTGCTTTAAAGGAAGCAGATGTGTATGGTTTTATAAAGGTAACCAAAGAGGAATGTGTGAACCACGTCCAGAAGAGGATGGGCACGCAACTGCGCAATCTCCCCAAGCAGAGGCCAGCTGGCTCTGAGAGCCTCAGTGGTAGGGGGCGGCTGACTGGTGACCTGGTTAACAAATTGACCTCTTACTATGGCTGGGCCATCAAATCTCACAAAGGGGACGTGCCAGCCATGCACAATGCTGTGATGGCCACATACCACCATGTGACGTCCAATGATGCCGTGTCCAACCACAGCCTGTGCCCTACAGGTCCTGACTCATGGTGCCGCCAGAACGCTGCCAAGGCCAGGGGTGAGCCGGCCCCCAAACAACGCTACAACCTGCCGCCGCATGTCTGTGAGGCCTTGCTTCCAGTGTACGAACGCGACAAGAAGCTGCTGGAGCGCTGCCAGCGAGGCAAGACTCAGAACAGTAATGAAAGTCTCCACTCTGTGATTTGGTCGCTGGCCCCGAAGGAGCGCCATGCATCACTGCACAGTGTAGAAGCTGCGGTCACCGAGGCAGTGATGAGGTTTAATGCCGGAAGTCAAGTAACATCATCCAAGATCCTCAAAGAGCTGTGCTTGAACCCCGGCCTACTGAGTAGCAAACGCATGGCTGAAAAAGACCTCCGCCGAACCAGGTACTCTACCTGCAGAAAATGTGCAGCAGACGCTCAAGAAGCGGCACCTGGATGCCAGCAGTCAAGGGGACTATGCTTCTGGGGCCTACTAGTCATTTCGCTCCAAAAATGTACAGAATGTTTTACCGTTTACATTAAACAATGGCACCGTTGTGTTTTTTGCCATTTTCTCAAAATGCATATTTTTGACGTTTAGGAAATTCTTGAGAGGTACATCTCGGCACGCGGTGCAGCTAGAAAGATAATTTCTTTTGCATTGTCAAGCTGAATGTTTAAACCTTGAAGTAAGGGAAACAGATTTTGCATTTCACGTTTCAATAATTGTTTAATTAGCATTGTTTATAACTGGTTAGCAGGCATACTTTAAACCGAGAAATTAGAATTGATGTAAACTTGCATGTGTGATTGCCAGACAAAAAAACTGCTTCCGTCATTTCATTCTCCACAACTTCTAGTATCTATTCATGCCATGCTGGTAATTTTTTGTTGACTAGTTTTTTTCCATTGTTCTCAAGAACAGTCACGAAAGATTTTTAATTATCACAGGAACTAATTAGCTTACATCAAAACTAATTGGATATTTGAAATCAGCTAAAAAAACTGAACAAGCCCATGGAGTTTCATTAAAATTGGTTGGAAAGCAAAAAAAAAAGTTTCTAAGACCAGTGTGCCCCCTTAACTGAAAGCATTCCTTATTTAGATGGAAGAAACTGTTCTGACGCGCGTGACAAACTCGCAACCTCTGTAACTGACGCAAAGAAGGAAAAAAATGCGGTGGCTTCGCTCCACAGAGTGGTTCGCTCAAAGGGCCGCCATGTTTGTTTTGACATTCCCGCACTGTTACAGCGGCGGCCGCCTGTTGGTCGACCTGTGTTCATCCCGCAGCATTGTTTTTTTTTCCTGAGACCAAGTTTTTGGTTTTTTGTGTGTGCTTTGTGATCGTCTGTTGAAGCGCCGTTTCACCATGGGGCAGTATGCGAGCTTTACTGCCGCGTTCAAGCTGAAAACGCTTGACTACGTGATAGAGCATGGCAACCGCGCTACCGGCAGACATTTCGGCGTCGACGTAATCCTGATCCGATATTGGAAAAAATAGCACGACGAGTTCATGGCTACTAACAGCACGCAATGGGCTTTCCGCCGACCCAAATCCGGCAAGTTCCCTGACATTGAAAAGGCAGTCCTCGAATACGTGAAGGACATGCGCAAGGACGCTTATTCAGTGTCATTAGACATGATACGGACGCAGGCGTGCACAGTTTCCCGGAGGCTGGGAGTAGCAACAAAGAACTTCCCCGCCAGTTCCTGCTGGACGACACGCTTATGCGGCGGAATGGACTGTCGCTGGCATTTCCGACGCGCTCGACGGAACTGAAGATGACCCTCTGTGGGACAGTGAAGACACTGCCAGTTCCGACTGGGAATCGTGCTGCGACGACACTGTCGCCAGTGATGCTTAGGAGTCTGAATGAACGTTATGGGGTCCGAGAGGTAAAAAATAAAAGGGCAGTGCGCCATGCATGTAGCTCCTGCGTAATGCGAGCATTTTATTACAAAGGTAAGCCTTAATTTGCATTTAGTTTTGGTTATGTTCATGATAGCTACCGTAAGAATTCTGATTAGCGACTTTTTTGTAATGCGAGTATATACAGTATAATAAACGTCGGTGAATTTTATTTCCTTGGTCAAAAACTTTGATGATAAGTGTACATGTTGGACAAGTTTCACAAGGTAGAGCATTGGGACAGTCGGACCTCAGTTTAACTATATCTACTAGTTAAGCAAAAAGCTCATTGATTCAAACTTTGTGGCACCAAAAATAACATCCAGATTAGATGAAATGTGCAGTTATCGAAAGTAGCTATAAAGCGTTGAACAAATGTGCAATAAATTAGTACACTCATTTTTTTGATAGCTTTTTATAGAAATGAATGTTTTGTATGTATATTGGTGTTTGAAAACAATTTTAGTACCTTTTTTTGGTGATACAAAATTTTAGGTGATGGGAATACTTTTGCTTCCTGTTCAAATGGGTATCACTGAAATTCTACTGTTTGCAGTAGAACCTTTTCAAATAGAGACATGGGGATCAGTTCTTATTCCTTATGTAAGGTATCTCTTGTAAGCAAGGCACTGTGGTTTTATTTTGTCATCAGTGCCTACTTCATTATGTCAGCACACTTGTGTCTAATACATCAGTCTGTTATAAAGGGGTCCTACTGTATGTACATGCACACGTACAAATTCATGCATAAACATTTGAAAGGGTAGTGAGCCCCTCTGCCCCGACCTGGACTATAAAATTTTCTGGCCGTGCCGCTGGTCGGGATTACAGTGTACTAGAATATACTGGGTAGTGGCTTCTCGCACACGCAAAAGAGTTTTCAAAACCAATTGGATCGGTTGCCCTTGGCCGGTTT